ACTTGCCTCAGCTTAGATAAGTAAGTATATTTTGGAAAGGGGTAACTTATTGTATATCTATTAGATGCCATCCAAGTTATATCTATTAGATGCCATCCAAGTATATTTTGAAAAGGGGTAACCCAAGGTTTGTTTACAAAACATAACCCAACCTCGTGACCCCTAGTCACGACAATGCATAGGGTCCAACCCTAACACACATGTTTGTATTCCTCGAGTCCAACTCGACTATATCACCATGCACCATTCAAAAGTCAATTACTCCACCAATCTCCGACGTCATGTTCACCCATGCAATTCTAGAGCATCGGGCTCAAGTACATCTCCTTACATGGGCTGAACCAAATCCTTATGTCTACCCAATGCAATTCTAGAGCATCGGGCTCAAGTACATCTCCTTGCATTGGCATAGACCCCAATTCCTAAGCACTCGCTATGCCTAGAATTGTAATATCAATAATCTATTTCGGGACATCCTTACGGACTGCCTCATCATGATCTTAGCATCACATTTCATCAATTTAGTCACTTGAACCACAATCAAGTACATCACTTACAATCAAATCCTTAGATTCAATTCCTTAACAATTACAAACAATCATTAACTAGTATTCCAATACTATTAAGACTATTCCCATCAATCATATATTTCATTTGTAAATCCCTACATATTTAGAAATATGTAGCAGCAACTTAATCATCCAATATAATACATAAATAATCATTTATGTATCTTCACAATTCACACATGAGTAAAAATGTCTATTTCACACGATAGTTCATTTAACTCCATTTTTATCAATATGATTTCCAAATCATTTGAAATTTCATTCCTTATCTAATATATCAATATTTCATCAATAATCAGTCATTATAATCCATGAAAAACACGATTTAGGCATTTAGGTAATCTCATGTTTAACCTACAAGTTGTAAGCAACTAGATGTCGATCCTCACCTTAAATGAGCTTTAAATTTTTCCTTCTTGTTCCAATGGTCAAAGCTTCGGCCAAGGTGGATTAAGAACTGATTCCTTGCTTAAATATGAGTGTTAAGCAGCCTCCTCACAGTGCTAGCTCAACCCCTAAACGTCGACACGAAAACAGTCCCTAGAACGGGTGTTTTCCGGCGAATTCGTTCCCTAACCTTTCAAGGTTTTGTCTAGGTTAGTATCTAACCTTTCCAACAATAAAAGTTACTATATAATAAAATTTTATACACTTAAACCAATGTATAATAGTTCTTCAACCATTCATAGGATTTAGGCAATAGAAAGGAAAGTTTTGGATTCAAACTTACTTTGAATACCAAAAGCGTATTCTGCGAGGTTTCGTTGTTTTCGGACGATTTGGAGACCTTGAACTGCTCCTTTTTCTTCAAACTGCACGCCTATGGATTCCTCGTCTCGAGAGCTTTCATTGGGCACCTCACACGCTTTAATTTAATGAGTGAAACTCAACATATGAGTCGAACAAGAAGACCTACGCACCTGGAAAACTCCTGCGGCCAGCTCTCCAATTCTCTCTTTTCTTGGGTTGTGCGGCTCCCCTTTCTTCCTTATCTCTTTTTGTTCGAATGAGGGTGAGGGAGAGGTGCTTAGAAGCTGTCAAATGTGATATGAACGAGTGACTCTAAAAAAAGAAGGGTAGGGTATTTGATCTCAATCAAACATGGGATGGTCCTCCTCTTTTATTTCTTTTTTGTATTGTTTGAGCTCTCAATTCAATAGGTCCGCCCCATTTATGAGTTCTAACTTATTCTACTTGTTTTGCAGGTTCTAGGAAGGTGTGGGGCGTACTCTCATGTCCCCCAATTAATTTGGAAGCAAAATACTACCAATACATCCAAAAGTGGAAAGATGAGTTCTATCATTTTTGTCCTTTGTCATAAGATGTACTTTTGTACTCTACCCAATTTATTTAGATTAAGTCAACCTTCTACATCATATTAGTGGTCTATAATATGTGTAGGGTGGTCCCAATAATTTATTTGTTGTATAATTACAAAAGAAAACCCTACTCCCATTATTTAGCCTAATAATGCCAAAGATGGGACCATAGGCATTTGTATTCTTCACCAACCATTCCATCATTCAATTATGATATTAATATTTATATATCTGGGCTACCAACCGTGTGGGTCACCCTCCAATAGGTCTAGGACGCCATTCTTGAATAATTACTATTTTTAGCAGGTTAGACCCAAAATAACATTTGGGCTGCCCGACCGCACTTACATTGTACCGAGGGGCTGTATATCTTTATTTAAGGACGTTGGGCCCCAATATCAATAATATGGCCTAATTAATTATTTAGAAGTCCATTACCCTTATATGAGCTCAAATAGTAATATGATTAATCATACGTTCAGTAAAACTTTAATCGTTTTACAATTGTTCGAAAATAGGGAAATTCAATACATAAGCTTTGAAATTAAAAACCAATTTAACACTATTTTTTTTTGTCCTGTTTGTGCAAACTGACCGGCTTTTAATCCTATGGATAATTAACTCTTTTTTATAGTTTGTGGGTTTAATTAAATGATATTTGAGTTGATGGACTTGATAAACATTTTTGTAATAATAATAAGGGTGGCCCATTTGAAACTTGCCAAAAAATAATATTAGTCACGTGTTGCAACATTTGTAACATATCACTTTTTCCAATATATCTAACCCATTTATATCAACACAATGGTGTTACACAATTTCACACGTTTTACTGTTAAAACAATTTTAACATTACACGCCGACATATGTCATTATTTATGTGATGCAAAACTAATAAACTCAACCGACATAAATATTTCATGAACACACTTTGTAATAGATAAATTTATAGACATAAGTTTTCCCAGAAAATTCTTCCCACTTTGATTTGGTACGGAGATTAAGAAAGTGAAATAAAGTGAAAATGTGTGGTTGTGCTTGTGTAAGAAAAAGGTGAAATGAATATAAACCACACAAATTTTTCAAAAATGGTAAGTGGGAAGAATTTTTTAGGACGGCCCAAAAAGGAAAGTGGGAAGAATTTTATGAGACGGAGGAAGTACTTTCTAACTTTTGTACTCCATATTATTTAAGAAGATTTTAACAAAGCTTGTTGTTTTATGTTTAACATGCCATTTTTAAGAGTTTTTTAAAAAATAAAAGATTATTTTTGAGATGTTACGGTGAGTAGAATCCAAGAAAAATATCTAGCTTTTAGCATTAATTAGTCGGCCTTTTGGCCTATATATTACTAAAAATAAGACAAAAGACAAAAAAGTGACATGTTTTTAAAAATTCCAAAAATGTGACCAACCCCCTGCAGTGCAAAGTAACTCCGACCAAAGTGACTCCGACCAAAGTGACTCCGACCAAAGTGTCTGCCCCACCGGCCACAGTGACTGCCCCACCGACCACGGTGACTGCCCCACCGGCCACGGTGACTGCCCCACCGATACAGTGACTGTCCCCGGCCACAATGACTGTCCCCGGCCACAGTGACTGCCCACTGGTCACAATGACACGCTAACTCAGATCATAGTGACACCCCGCCTCCGGTGTCCCTGCCTACCCAACCCTAGCGCCGCCCTGACCATCACCGCGGACCGTCGTGGATCGCCGTCGCCGACCACCACCCCAGACCCAATCACCTTCCCAGCCCCCGGCCACCTTCCCAACACCCTCCAATCCCCTCCCCACCTCCCCAGCCCGACCCCCACCCCAGATCTAGCCCAAACCGCACTTAAACAGCCAGATCTAGCTCTGACCAGCCCCTCTACAACCGTTGCACCATATCTGCACTCCGTCTTCATCTCCCGCACATCTGAACCGACGACGGCGGAGTAGCGAGACAAAATCGCCGCATCCTTGAAGCCCCAATCGCCGCCCTAGCCACATGTGGTTAGTTCAAAACACCGCTGCATCGAAAGCTCAGTCATACCGCCGCACCACGTTCGGACAGAAGGAGTAGAATAAGAGATGTGCAAGTGAGAGCGGTTGATGAAGGCAACGACAGTGTTGAAATCGGCAACGGCGGTGTCGAAGTTAGCGACGATAGGTGTTGTGCGCAGGTGAGAGTAAGGTTGTATATGAACCGAATCGAGTCGAATAATGAGATTTTGTATTTGTATTTGTTTAATTTTTTGGAATACGAATTCGAATTCAAATATGAAACGAATAATAATTTTGATTTGTATTTGTATTTGTTTAACAATACGAATAATTAACGAATCATATATGAATATCAAATCGATTTGAGCATAAGTTAAATTTTAGTCAAATATCACTCTAAAATAACTTTTTTATATTGCTTATTTTTTATGTTGTAAATGCATGCTATGACTTAATATGTGTTTTTTGAATTTAAATTTAATGGATCAATGCATTTTTAGATTGTACACAATGTACTAAAGTGAATTAATTTTATGATTAATAAATATAAATCTATTTCAAACTTTTTTAAATAAACACTAACACACACATATTAGAAATTATACTTATAATGTGTGAAATAAGTTGATAATTGTATATATCAGTCAAACAACTCTAATTTTATTCTTCAAATCGAATACATAATTATTTGTATTGTATTTGAAAGACGTTTGAACCAAAAAAATTGATTTGTATTTGTATTTATATTCTGATTTATTACGAAGGGAGTATTTTCATATAATTGCGCGAAACATAATTAAAATCTATCCGACTATCCGGTCACATCAAAATTTCATTTCATATTTATTTTTGTAAGCCTACATTTAACAAGTACTCCCTCTGTTCCTAAAAATTCTTCCCGGTTTGACTTGACACGCTTATTAAGAAAGTGGAATAAAGTGGAAATGTATGATTGTGGTTGTGTAGGAAAAAAGTAAAATGAATGTAAGCCACACAAATTGTCCAAAATGGGAAAGTGAGAAGTATTTTTAGGAACAGACCAAAAAATAAAGTGGGAAGTATTTTTGGGAAAGGAGGGGAGGGAGTAAGTCGTTTGGACTATGAAAGTAGCGTTCCCATGTGAGGCGTTTTGTGAAGCAACCATAACATAACAATGACTGAAAGCAACACAATCAATTTTAAAGATGAGACGTGGCGGCCTCTATCCTCACTCCGAGAAACAACCAAACAGCTTCCCCTGAACTTATAGTCAACAATGGAAGACAATTCAACGCCTTGTTCCTTTGACTTTAAACGACCATACATACCATCTCATTCATACTACGTACTAAATAGTGAAATAATCTCCAACCTCCCTGCACAACTTCTGTTTTCTTCTCAATCCATCTTCATCCGTGTGCATCCATGCACGTTTCGAGGCAATTCGTTTAATTTTTCTCCAGGTAATTCGTCTAAATTTCTGTACTAGAGAGTAGTGTTTCGTTTTCAACTTTGAAGTGGCGGCATTCCCATAGATCTGCGGTGTTTTTTTATCCTTTAGATAACGTGTTTGGTTCGTCTGATTACATAAGCCCTTGAATTGGGAGTTGCTGATGAACTTGATTCGGTTGCCGATTGCCAGTTTTTTTTTTCTTGAACTTTTCACCTGATTATAAGCATGCCCGTTCAATTCCTTCTGTAATCTGTATAGATATATCAAAAGAAGGAAAAGGGATGAACTGCCCCAAGAAGTTCGGATTTTGCGCGTTAACCTTTGAATGGGCAATTAAGATTTGTTGTTTCTTAAAGGTTGTCCATATTTAATCCTCAAAGTACTAGTGTTGTGAATCTGATGTAGTCTACCTTAAGCAGTACTGTGTGGTTCTATATTTTTCTCCTGCTATTGTATATCTGAGAGTTGTGTTTGCTGTTCATTGATTGTGCAGGCCCTAACTGGACTCTCATCTAAAGCTGCTGTCTATTTTACCCAATTTTATTTGGCTGCTTCTTGGTTAATCAACAAGCCATGGGTTGCTTTTCTCTTCTATACCGTAACCGTGGCAAGTTGAACTCATCCACCACACATTCATCGGAATTCGATGAAGGTTAGGACCAGAATTGTGTAAACAGTATCCAATATTGATAAACCTGGCATTTTAAATTTTGAGTTTTCTAAGGACTACAATCATGAACAGATCTCTATGGCATAAGAAATGTGAACGTCTTCTCCTACAAGGATCTAAGAGTTGCCACCAATAATTTCTGTCCTACAAATAAAATTGGAGAGGGCGGCTTTGGCTCTGTTTATAAGGTAATCAAATGGAAATATTTTGGGCATTTATCTTGCTTCTGATACATGGTCAAGGTGCTCTTCTCTGTATTGTGTTTGCCAGTCTGACACCTCATTTTTTGTCCAATCCTTGACAAACAGGGTAGGCTTAAAAATGGGAAGATGGCCGCAATAAAGGTTCTTTCTGCTAAATCAAAGCAGGGATTGCAAGAGTTCTTGACAGAGATTCAAGTGATTTCCGATATAGAACATGAAAATTTGGTCAAGCTGTATGGATGTTGTGTGGAAGATGAGCATAGAATTCTTGTCTACAATTATCTTCCGAACAATAGTCTTGGTCATTCCCTTCTAGGTAATTATTATTATATTTTGGCATTAATGTTCCAAGTCTTATTCTTTACGTCATACTCCGTATTAATTTGTCTACCACTCTACCCAGCTTGCATGATTTGGCGCTACACAACATGTCAGAAATTAAAGAAGTAGCTCTTGAGCGCCAAAACAGGATAATATCTAAGGTGTTGAATACATTCCATTAAAAAGTGTTGTTAATGCCATTCAAATAAGTCTTAGCCAACTCGCAAAGATACCAGTCAACAGGTTTTAAGTTCAACGTTGTAAATTTACCTAGGACATATAGGCAAGCACTAGAAGTCTTTAATTAAGTACAAACTTAGAATCCTGGCATTGAGAAAGGTAAAAGGCATAAATAGATATATGTACAAACTTAGATCTGAGTGGTTAGGATTTGAAGTGAAAAATGGGTGTTACCTGATGTGAAGCAAATTTAGAAAATGTATAAACAAGAATTTGTCATTTTGCATCCAATTCTTTTCATTTATTGGTGTTATCTTAGTGTAGCTAGAGGTTTTAGTGCTGTGGCGGGTGCCTAAGTGGCGCATTCAGCTCCCGGGCTATCTTTTGAGGGTTTTTAGTTTGCAGCCTGGGGCCTAGCGTCTAGGCAAGCAATTGGGCTGAAATTCAGGACGTGGTTGAAAATGCACTTTCGTTATCATTTTAGTTTAACTTGAAATCTGATTTTGCTAAGCATGCTGCATTTAGGTGGAAGGGGCAGTGGCCTCCATTTTGACTGGAAAACACGGTCAAAAATTTGCATTGGCGTGGCAATGGGACTGGCTTATCTTCATGAACAAGTGAAACCGCATATTGTCCACAGAGATATAAAAGCAAGTAATATTCTTCTTGACAATGATTTGACGCCCATGATATCTGATTTTGGTTTAGCAAAGCTCATTCCACCAGATAAGAGTCATATCAGTACACGTGTTGCAGGAACTTTGTAAGTTTTTTATGCTCTTTCTTCTAAACATTTTATCCTATATCGTAGTCTGTATATGTTTTGGTTAAGTTACACATTTAAACCAGTTAACATTTTTTCAAGAATCTTGATCCTCTGGTAATTCATAGGATTGATATAAAACATAAAGTTTTTACCTAAATGTTTTATAAAACTAGACTTATTAATTTGATGTTGTTTTAAGTTAAATATATGCTACAAGGCTTTTTTATACTCACTGCAAAATATAGTGTAAACTTTCCAATTTTATAATATAATTATCATAACCTTTTCAAAGTCTTACTAGCACCAATATTTCCTGAAAATCAAAGTTTTGATATTACCAATACCAATATTCTCATCATCATTGCTCATTTGCTCTTAATGTGTTATGTTTAAGGTAGAAATTTTACAGCATTAAAGATGTTTGCATATCTTTCGGCGTAGCTTTGTATATTAAAGCTGACTACCTCTTGTTTTTATGCTCCAGAGGTTACTTGGCACCAGAATATGCAATAAGGGGTCAGTTGACGCGTAAAGCAGATGTTTATAGTTTTGGTGTTCTTCTAATTGAAATCATATGTGGGAGATGCAACACAAACACAAGATTACCCATTGAGGAACAATATCTCCTTGAAAGGGTATGGCTTGCTCATGTCCCTTCAATTTATGCTTCACATTTTTGGATGTGTGCAGAATTTCTAAAGTTAGTTTATGGTTATAGCGCTTCCTGGCTTATCATTGCATGACTTTTCTGATTTTTTTTATGTACAACCCTCTAGTGCTAGTAAATATTGGATTTTCTTGCGTAGAGAGTAGTTTTAGTTCATTTGCAAAGGCTCCAATGGATATTGTTGAACCAAGGTCGCCAAAATCCCTTGGCAGTCCTACGGTGGTAGACCAATGCCTAGTGCCTATACTGTCTAGGATGTTCCTAGGTTGTTGCGTACATGTATTCTTTTAACAGAAATTGCTCTGACCAGGAGTAAAACATGACTAAGTGCATAAGTAGGAGTGAGCTTGTTTTCCCTATAATAAGACTCATTGAATCGGTAATTAGTCCTAATAAAAGGGTAAAGGTGGTTAAAACTTCTACTTTTTGGAGTAAATGAGTCATATTTTGGGTGCAAACCAGAAACAGGACTGGTTCAGACTTTTTACTAGTTAACTTCGTTGTAGGTATATCAACTTTATATTTATTAGTTAACTTCATTGTAGATATGGCAACTTTATGAAAGAGGAGAGCTGGTACAACTTGTAGATTCATCATTGGATGGGAATTTTGATGCAGAACAAGCCTGCAGATTCTTACGAATTGGACTTCTTTGCACTCAAGATACCCCTAAGCTTCGGCCTTCAATGTCACGTGTTGTGAAGATGTTAAAAGGGGAGATGGAGGAGGAGAAGGATAATATTACAAAGCCTGGGCTGATAACTGATTTCATGGATCTCAAGATTAAAGACCCTCAGAAAACCAAGCCTGCAAGTGTTAAAGCTGCGTATGATTATATATTATCTTCAGAATCTGATAGTTCAACTTTGCCATCTCAAGCTTCTTCCCAGACCTTGACTACAATCGATTAAAGTACCGAGTGTCTGGGTGCCAATATTTTAAAGCGATTTAGGCGGTGAGGGACCTTGTAACTTTCGTTGATTCCTTTTTAGTTTCCGGGAAAGTATGGAAGTATATATAGATCATAGTTGTGCATACACATATAGCCTGTCTATATTCTTATTTTGTGATCACAATCTCTGAACAATGGTTTGGAGTTTTATTTTTCTTGTCCTATATTTTCCAATGAGTATTTTAGACTTAGGATTGTGGGCTTCCTATACCAAACAAACTACTCCGTAATAGCTTGAAAATAAGTAGGTTTGGACGAAAACTCATGTGAGATGGTTTGGTAGATTTCAATTTGAGAGACATACAACTTCAGTTAGGGTACGGTGGACCTGAACCCGTTCCAGTCGGGTTTTGAACTGGCCAATACTTGGTCCCCAAACTAGGTCACCGTAATTGTGACAATAGTTTTAGGGTAAGGTCCGGTACTAGCCTCAAACTGGTTGTATCCGGTCCAAAATCGATTCTGATCTGGTTCCATATTATTATTATTATTATTATTATTATTATTATTATTATTATTATTATTATTATTATTATTATTTGAAATCTAGTAACTAATCAAGTACCTAAGTGGTAGGGGTAACTGGCCAAGTCAAAAACTTCTTAGAGATGAGCCTTAGGACTCGATTAAGGGTCAGCAAATGTGTATAGAAATTATGGGCTGGTGCAGTCGTGCAGGTGGGCCTATCAATGGGTCGGGTCCGGGTCGGAACGTAGTGTTTCAGACCCGGACCCGCTAAGTTAATAATGGACCCGGGCCCAAGTCGTTTACCTAGCGGGTCTGAAAATTTGGACCCGGATCCAGATCCAACGGGTCTCGGAATCGGGTCGGGTAGACCCGTCCGCCAAGTATGATACGCACACCATTATAAACTTTGTCAAAATAACAAGACATGTATGTGAAATATAAAACAAAGTGCACAAATTTAAAAGCAAAGTAGATCTTCATTTTTCAAAAAAAATCAAGGTCTCTCATAGAAAATCAGTACTTTTATCTAATAAAGTATCAGTTCTTGTACAGGCATATAGCTCCACACTCTGTGTCGCTTTCTCTCGCACAAAAAGCTTGTATAATAAACTAGAAGTTAAGTCATAAAAAGGTCTCTTGGACTACTAAGAGTATAAAATCATATGTAGTGATGGAGTATATGGCCCAGGGACCCCCACCCCACCGACTCATACTACTCCGACACAGGCCCAACAGGCCCAAGAAGCGCATGAGGCCCAAAACACCGCTGCCCAAGGTCAAAGGAACTCACGGTGCGCTTGGGGATGCCTTCGGCACCATAGTTGAAGGCTCCAAACCCAGGAAATAGCTGATTTCAGGTGTACGCATCTAGTGGGAGAAAACGATTGAAATGAGGAGCCTTGGGGTCACAGGCGCCCTCGACATGAGGCCCTCGGCTGCACAGGGCCTTCGGCCACAAGAGAGCCTTCGGCTACACCGCACTCATCGAAGATTCCCTTTGGAGACAAACAACCACCGCATTTAAGGCGGTGTCACATCCACCCACCGCATTTAATGCGGTGCACATGCGAATGTCAGTGCCACCCCGATTGAGGTGACCCCTCGGCCGTTAGATTGTTGACACGTGTACTATCATCGCATTTATGGCTGCTATAAATAGCAGCCCTTATTCACCTTGTAAAACACGCTGAGTTCATTTAATACATCTGACTCTTTCTCTCACTTGCTTGCTCTGACTTCTCTCTAGTTATTCTCCGCAATAACCCTTCGGATAAGTTACCCCCTGCGTACACTATCCATCATGTAGTATTATACGATAGTATATGATAATGATATAATATTATTAATAATAATAGTAATAAATATTGTGCTTTTAGGGTATATTACTATCTCGATCAGTATCACTTATATAATAGTTATGTAGGGAGAACTATCAAATAAGCCCTCGAACATTCATAAAAAGTGCAAATAAGCCCTTTTAGAGGAGGCTCTGTCCAGCCATCGCCGTTTGGGGCGGTTTTCGGTGAAATTTTTTGATGAAATTTTTTGAGTATCTTCTTCATTAAGTCTAGTTTATTCATACCAAATTTCAGCTAAAAATTAAATCGGGAAGGCAGTCAAATGAATTTTTGAAGATGCTGAAAAAAATTCATCAAAAAATTCCACCGGACACCGCCCCAAATGACGATAGCCGGACAAAGCCTCCTGTAAAAGGGCTTATTTGCACTTTTTATGAAAGTTCGAGGGCTTATTTGATAGTTCTCCCTAGTTATGTATTAATGTGTATAATTTTATTGAAGAATCACAACTAATAACTTTGTGTATTATTATGTATATATATGTATATAAGTTTCTATTTTATTTAAAGTGTTATAACTAATCACTTTATGTATTAGTGTGTGTGTATACATATAAGAAATTTTAAACGGGTCCAGGTCCTTAACGTATCGGAATCATGTGTACCATACCCGACCTGTTTATTTAAAATACTAACGGGCCCGGATCCGGATCCGGGTAAACGGGATAAAATATAGACCCATACCCATTAAAAACAATCGGGTCCGGGTCTAGACCCGACCCGTTGACAGGCCTACGTGCAGGTAAGGATGGACCCGATCTGGTCCTGGTCCCAGACTGGCCCATCCAGTTCCGGACCGGCTGATCACACTTCCGGTCCGAGACTGGCTGGTCCCGGGTCCCATTTACTAAGACTGAACCGACCAAGAAAATTACGGGTCACGGTCTACTCGCCGGTTCGACACCTATTTTTTTATTTAAATAAAATACACACATTAAAAAATGAATTGTATATTTATTTCGAACACTACATTGACTTACAACTATTATAATGTAAAAACTAACAAATATTAAAATGTGACTAATATTATAAAAAGAATGTCTAATATTAAATTCTAACAACTATTAAAATGTATTGTTAAACTTTGCGGACGACCGCACCTAGAGTCCTCTAGGTTTGTGTGGGGTTTCAGCAGTTTATTGCGTAAGGTCTACGACAATGGCTATTTGGATCGCTAGGGGGTACAAAACTGGTATTGGTGAGTGTAGAAAGGAGCACAACTGCGGCATCGGTTGAATATGGAATTCATGGCGGACAACAACAAAATGGAATTCATGAGAAAGGCGGAAGATCCGGAATCGAAAAAACTCAGGGCTTGCTTGATGTGGCATGGAGAAGTCCAGATTCAGGTGATGGAGATAGGAAGACAAAGAGATGATGATTGGTCCCTCTCCCGAACCGCCGTCATGGAGGAACTGTGCGTCTAGGATTTGGATGACTATTTTACTATTTCTAGTTTGTTATTTTCGTTTGTCTTTTTTACTGTTTCTATTTCTTTAGTTGTGTGACAAACAATGGGGGGGGGGGGGGGTAGGTTGGTGTTTTGACTTATTTTAGTTTATAGATTTCTGTTTGGAGACAATCAGGCCGATTCGGTGATTAGTCTCGCTTTTTCCGGGGTGGACTATTCTATGTCTGATCATGACGTGAGGGGATCGACAGACTATTTCTTTCCAAAAACAACTATTAAAATGTAACAAATATTATAATGTGACTAGTCTTATAATGAAACTAATATTCAAATTTGACTATTATACAAATGCAAGTATTATTAAAATGATAATGTAAGTGATATGATAATGTGGGAAATTGAAATGTTACTAACGTTATAAAGTGGCTAATATTAAATTCTAAAAAGTATTAAAATGTAACAAATATTATAATGTGATTAATCTTAAAATGCAACTAATATTCAAATTTGACTATTATTCAAATGCAAGTGATATTAAAAATGAAGCTCCAATGACACACAAAACTGTTTTGAAGTTGTAGACATGACACTAATTAAAAGATTTGCTTAGATTTCACGGTCATGATATCTTGAATCTTGCGTTTGGAGAGAAAGTTGTTGTTTTTAGTGGTGACTTCAAGCAAATACCCCCTATCATACCAAAGGAATCTTGGCAAGAGGGTGTTCGTGCTACTATTAATGCCTACAATGTGGTTCTCACTTTATTTGGAGACATACCCCCTACCACATATTTGGAGACATTGTCATGTTCTCACTTTAACAAAAAACATGTGACTACAATGTGGTTCTTCACATTGTAATGTCGAGGAATTGTAGAGTTTCTTCGATTTGGTGCTCAAAATAGGAGATAAAATATTGAGAATGTGAGAGATGGAGAGGTGGTCATTCATATACACGATGATGTGCTTATTACCACTTTCGGTGATCCTATTGACACAATTGTTTCTAGCACTTATCCGTCATTTTTGGGAAATATGGCTAATCCGTCATATTTTCAGCAAAGAGCTATTTTGACACTCAAATGATTTTGTATAGCCTATAAATTATTACTCTTTCCATCCCGAAAAAGTTCGACAAATTGACTTTTCTTGGTTAATGACAAACAACTTTGACTAGTGATATTTTTTAATATGAAATTAGTTTGAATATGAAAACTATACTGAAATGTTTCTTATTCAGAATAATTTCATAAAAGTATAAAATTTATATATGAGTATTATATACAAATATATTAATTAAAACATTGCCTAAAGTTTGCCATCATTAACTAAGAAAAGTTAACATGACAAAACTTTTATGGACAGAGGTAGTATATGATTTCATTGATGCCTGGAGAAATGAGTACATTTGAGTTTTGACAGTCCATGCTCACTTGAAGGCAACATTGGCGCTGAATCTTATGAAGTTTCTGAACACCATCAATGCATCAAGGATACATAACCATACATTGGGACTAAAGGTTGGTGTTCCTATTATGTTAATGAGAAAGATTGACCAACCATCTGGCTTATTCAACAAAACTTGTCTGATTATTACTCAATTAGGTAAATTTGTTTTGGAGTCGAATGTTATAAACAGAAAAAATATTTGTCAAAAAGTATTGATTCCACGACTATCATTGGTCTTGTACTCCTTTTAGATAGCACAATTCCTTTCAAATTTCAACGCAAACAATTTCCAATAATCGTTTCAGTTGTCATGACGATAAACAGATGTCAAGGACAAACTCTGGATCAAGTAGACATATATTTTCCAAAATGTCTTTACGCACGGTCAAGTGTGCGTTGCCATGTCAAGGGTTACCTTAAGGAGTGGGTTGATGATTCTTATATGTGATGACGAGGGCCGCATGCACTATCAACACCACGAATAATGTGGAATATAAAAAAGTTTTTCAAAATTTGTGCAACTTTTTTTCATTATCAACATATATGATTGCTGCTATATCTTATAAATTT